GAGAGGGGGGGGAGAGGGAGAGGGAGAGGGAGAGAGGCTACTACTATGAAGGATGTGAAGCACAGAATTTACAAATATTAATGAAATATACAAGATTTATTGTTGTGAAATCCATGTAGCCAATCAGTTCTCTCTGGCTTTGGCCAAGCTCTCGTGCCCGTGGTTAACCCAGGGTTGTGATGGAGCTGCGTGGATATTAATCTTTTTGCTTCTGTTAATGAGTCAGATGAAAGTAAAATATTGAAGATTTATGGTGGAACTTCACTTTAGCATCAAAGACATAAGCAACTTTGGGGAGTCAGACGAGTTTTCGAATCGGGGGTAGTTCCTCAGGTTCTGTCCTATTTGCAATGTGACGCCTATAGACACAGTAACAATTAACCTGAGGCATTGACACTTTATCCACTGCTTTCCTGAGACACTCCGTGAAACCACACAGGCCTGGGACTGTGGAAGGTTACGGATGGAGACATGGATAAAACAAAGGCTGGTGGCAGCTTTGGAACAAGCCTCCTGCTTACAGGTTAGTGAGCCACAGCCACTGGCTCTTGAAGACAAGCTCACAGCCTCATGATTACTGCATAAGCGAAACAACCAGTACCTAACATGCACTGTGCACTACAGCTCTCGTCACACTGCCATTTGCTGTCACTGAGACTGACAAGCTATGTGTCAACATGTCTGTGATTCATTACACACGTGAACAATGAAGTATGGTTTCCCAGTATGTAAAGAGTCAAGGCTTGGAAGCCACAGAGAGCCTGATCTTCTAAGTAACCGCATATCCTACCTTCATAGTATATAAGATCATACTGGACCAAGCAACATAGATAGATAAAAAATGAAAACGAGAAAGTACCCCCTTGTCCTCTGCTTTAATTCTATTCTTTAGGTAGCTACTCTTAATAGCTGTGTGTATCTAAAACTTTTTGCTATGAGATCATATTGTAATAGTCCTTACTTGTTTGAATAAGACAAACTGTATTATTTTTATCTTTAAAATGATATGCGTCTGCATATTATTCTGCAGTATGTTTTTTTTCTGTATTTACTATATTCTTGATCATTGATAAAGTTCTACTTCATATTCTTTAAGAGCAGCAAAATATTTTGTAGCAAGAGTTTCTCATGAATTATAATCACTTTCCTACTGACAGAAGTTTATGTTTCTTTCAAGGTTTTCACTTTTTGCTCTTGTATTTGTAAATAATATACCAAGAAATATGTTTATACAGGTACCTTTGTGCAGTGTTCAAATTTCTATGGGAGACAGAGTCGAAGATAGAGTCCTAGAAACAGAATGTGCAGTTTTTTTTTCAATTATTGATCATGCATTTATTTAATTTTAAATTAATGAAATAATTTTGGCTTCTATATACAGATATTTCCCAACTTACCAACACCAGGTAATTACCAAATAAACTCCAAGGATTCTCCATCTTCTCAGGTTATATATATATTTTTTCTAATATTTTGTAGTTCAAAAGTCTTTGTTCTGAAAGTTACATTTTTACAAATGCTTTTATTAATGAAATACCCATCCGTTACTTTGAAAAAGTGGGTAAAATGATTTTTTTATATCATTTAATTAAAAAATCAGAATAAACTGAATTCTTGTATTTTGAATCAATCAGTACACCTTCTGAACGAGATTATGTCTCAACTACCTGGGGAAAAGATGTGTGTGACTTTGAATCACACTTGTTATTAAAGAGAAAAATATTTTAGACTGACCAAGTAGCAGAGATTGTTGTTCACAGCTTGATGGTAAAAGTGATTTGCCAACGTATGAGTGGGTACAGGCTATTATTCTGGTGATGATTCTTAAAGATGTAACTCAGTGGGAATGTGTTAAGTCATTTATGATGGGAGCTGCTGCAGGAGTCTGAGAATCTGAGACAGGTGGATTCTCAAGCCTTAGTGAATTTTATAAGGACTAGATGCATAGAAGTCTGATCTATGTTCTTCTAGAAAACATTTACATCACAAAGATAAGGCATATTTTTATTAGATGAGGCAGCATTCTTATTTGCAATTAAATGAAGAGATTTGAAGCATGAACTTGCTTCACATGGACACCTTGATATTATTCCATGAACTTAATCACCTGTTTTAAGGTGATGTTTGTGATGATGCATTTGAGATGTTTCTTTCTGCTGCCTTGGAATGCTTAGATTATCTAAGCCCAAATAAGTAGAAAATGAAATCTGTATTGGATGAGCAAGGAGGGGTATGTATGTAGGTGTGTGTGTGTGTGTGTGTGTGTGTGTGTGTGTGTGTGTGTATGTGTGTGAAGCTATTGTTTATCTATTCAAATTGGTGGCTTAAAAAACCTGAAGGTGTTATGACCTCTGAAAAGAAAATAGAACCCTCTTGAAATATTCTCTCTTGAAAATAGACTGGAGTAGAACACTCAGAAGCGTATGGCTTGCTCACTAAGTGGAGAGTCTGATAAGACCAACAGAAAGAACCTCTGGAATTATGGGAAATAGAATTTGAGGCCCTTTCAATCATTGTTCATTTATTGATTGACTTTGAAATTGCAATCATCCTGTTTTTAATTCTTGTCAAAAAATTTCAAATTTACCATTCGTGGTCATGGAATCTGAATAGGGCCTTAGGGGCTTCCCAGATTTCTGTCAGTTCTTGGTTCTAGAGGGACAAGACGCTGAATTCACAGTCAGCCTCTTTTTCCGTGGCTGGTGCAGAAAATGAAAGAAAACCCTGCAGGCCTGAAGTGAGCAGGGAAGTCCGCACACCCAACCAGGGGCTGTGACAGCAGTGTGACCTAGGGACACCAGGGTAATTCCTCTTTTTGATTTAATTCCTGAAAAGGTCATCAGTATTTGATTTATAAGAGTAGCATTTCAGAAAAGCAATTAGTAAAACAGAAAGGTCCTGACATGTGATTTCTTGCTGTTTGAAGTACTTTATTCTTCGGATCAAAATCATTTAAGGGTTTAGTTTGGAGGACACTGGATGGTGTGTATTTTGAAGGCTGTGAGGACATCTGTTTGGCTGTGGAGATTTCCTGGGCCTGGCATATACTCAGTAACAAATGTTGGAAGAAATGACCGCATCTTTCCAAGAGTAAGGCACTGGATGTCATGGTGAAGACAGACTCCAGATGGCTCTAGAACCTCTGCTCCTGTTCGCCACACCTTTGGGCAATCTCTCTTTCAGTGTGGGCTGGACCTAGGGACTGGCTGCTAGTGAACAGCGTCCTATAATGTGATGAGAGGGGTAACCTGGGGGACTGTCATATATCACTTTGGCTTCCATCCTGTTGGCCTGCTCCCACCCTGCTGAGCCCTCATTCTGCAGAAGGCAAGTTGCCATGTTGTGAGGAGCCCAATGCAGAGGCCCAGGCAGTCAGACAGGGCTGGTGTCTCTAGATGACAGTGCATAACTGGGTTTGGAAATGCAGCCTCCCTGTGGGACCTGGGGGGTCTGCAGACCCGGTCAGCACTTCAGCCGCAGCTTCATGAGAGACCTTGATCTGCAGGATCCCAGCTAAGCTGTAGCTGGATTCCTGACCTGCAAAGAATCCTGAGATATTAAATATATGTGTATATATATATATATACCTTTCCTTAAATGTGGCTACCATAAAATTTGCACTTACATATGCAACTCTCATTTTATTTCCTTGGAAAGCACTCCCCTAGCTCTCAAGTTGATTAGGAAAAACTTTCTCTTCTCTATGGCCTCTGCAGTCCCAGCCTTCTCAGGCCTCTTCACCTCTTTTGGGAGGCTGATTTTGTAGGTATTGACAACCTTGGCCCCCAATAACATGCTTTTGTGTAGCTTTTTGATATTTCAGTCCCAACCATTCTCTCTTGACTTCATTCCAGTTCCCTGGGATCACTTCCCATTCCTGTATCCTCAGACGGGTATACCAGAGGCCTGTTCAGAAAGGAGGCAGGTGGGGACAATGATCAACTGCCCTTCCGTACAAACTTTCAGTGTTTGCCTTCTTTCCTTTCATTTCTGGGTTTTCTATGTACTTACACATAATACAGCTCAACCCCTTTCTGGTTTCCTAGATCTCTTCTTAAGACATATGCCTGGAATTCTCAAGATGTGCTTGGAATTCTTGTGGTTTTGCCTCTGGAAGAAGAAGTTCCTTCCAGAGCCAGGAAGCTGACTCCCACTACCCTGGGGCTCAGGAGTACCAGGAGGTGAGAACTTTCTTTCCTGCTTTTTAAGAAAAACTACACAAATTTTACTTTATGTTTTTAATTTTTGAATTTTTTTTTGATAAAATGTTTGAATCATACATATTAATGGGGTTTGGTATGATATTTCAGTACATGTGTACAGTGTGCATGGGTCAAATCCAGCCTCCCTTTATCCAACCCCCTCCATCTAGTAGCAACTATTCCACACTCAGAATGACTTTTTTTTTTTTTTTTTTTTTTAACATCCACATACAAGGAACCTTGGTAATCATCTTTCTGTCTGGCCTACTTCCCTCCACAGAAAGTCCTTCAGTTCCTCCCACTTGGCTGTGCTTGCCCTTTTAGGGCCACCCTAGAGCACTATCTATCAGAGCAACTCAACAATTATTTAATTTTCTAGGGCTGTTATCTTTGACTTAGTGTTTACTAATAATAAGGATCTGGACTCTGCAAAGTTCTATAATACAAAGATTATGATGACAATGAAGAAGAAAGAGGAGGAGGAGGAGGAGGAGGAAGAGGAGATGATGATTTTGCCACCAAGAATTGAACCCAGAGGTGCTTAACCACTGAGCCACACCCTAGCTCTTTTTATTTTGAGACAGGGTCTTGGTAAGTTGCTGAGGCTGACTTTGAACTTGTGATCCTCTTGCCTTAGCTTCCCCAGCTACCGGGATTACAGGCATGAGACACCACACCAGGCAATACAAAGATTTTTGCCCAGTAGAGATGTTAACACATTCTATCAGGCAGAGAAGATCACCCCAAATTTCACTTATATTATTCCATACGATATAACTTATTTTGTCTCTGAGATAGCAAAGTTATTTCAGTAATACCTTTCTCAACTGATATGAACATTTGTTCTTTCTTCTTGGAAAAAGGAAAGTTAACTTTCCAGTTCTCTTATTAAGGAGCTAAAAAAAAATCAGTATTTATTTAGCATTAAGCTGAGAGTTGTGATTTTAACTTTTTGAAACTGTAATTTGACCAGAGGTTGAATGAGAACTTTTCTCATTTGATCTCAAATCTAAACAGTGAGACAGCAGCCAGGGACTGAGTCCTCAGGGCAGACAGACCAGGGCCCTCAAAATCCTAAATCAGGAAGAAGCTTGAAGTATTGGTGGAACAGAAGTTTCTATGGAGTGGAAGAGTGAGAGGAGATGAATCGAACAACTAGTCGGGGTCAGGTTAGATCCAGCTATGAGACTATAAATAATAACTTCAATAAATAATTTTAACTACTTTTTTTTATAGAAAATCTCAAAATTCCACACCTAAGGTAAGTTTTCTAATTTCTTACAAGACATTGGGATGGGGAAAAACACCAGGATTAGCACAAGCAAACCAGAGTGAAAACTAGAAAATTTACTTCCAATGAAGAAAATAAATTGTCCTTTGAGACTGTTGTGTCATTTGAATTGAAGGCTCCAGGTGGGCACAATTATTCCTTTCTTTCCGTATTTTTCTCAGCAAAGAAGAGAAACTCTAGGTTCCAAATTTTCAGAGACCTGGGGTGGTGGTGGTGTGGTGGGTGGGGGTTCCTGAGCACTTCTGTCTCTGGATGATGGAGATTTTCAATAGTGTTTTAGCTTCTCTATCTCTAGGGTGACAATGAACGGCCCAAGGAGCTCCGTGGGTCCTTTATGGAAAGGTTTCTAGGCGGATCCAGTTAACTGAAAATCATCTTGCTGCTGTAAGAGAAAAGATCTGGCCCCTGGGGTTGGGGTTGTCTTTCTCCTCTAGGGGCTCCCTCCAGTGCTGGGGACGAAGGGAACCTTGAGTTCCTGACTCCTTCTGCCTGTGACCAGAATATTCTGCCTGTAACGTTTCACTTCTTGATTTATAAAAGGTCATCTGTGTTTGCTCCATTTAACAGTTTACCTTACTTCATTAGGGAGAAATTTCAAAGAAGTAACCTAAGATTAAGGGGATTTTGCTGTTCTTAATATTTTAACTTGTCCCCTTGTCCTAGTTTCTTTATCACTGTGTCCTAACCTTTTTTGCAAAGTTCATTCTCAGTTTCTATTTTGTTTTTTTCCAGCATCAGAGAAAGGTCTTAACTGTCACCCATAAGGAAAAAAATTCACCAGCAAGTCCAAACTGGGAAAATCTCAGTTTAAAAGAAGAAATATAAAGGGGGGAAAAATGAAAGAGAATCTTACAAAACAAAATCTGCTTAAGGAGACTCTAATTTGGTAGTAAGGAGATCTGTGGAAAAATCTAAGATAAGGGATAGAAAAATAAGAAAATGCAGGCATAATTAATTACCCACACCTCTACCCTACCCTTACCTGATGGAGCCCCAGATGTGATGTTTGGAAGCCCAGCTTCTGGATGAAGTGCATATTAACAAGTCATTTTATGTCTTTCTTCCCCTTCAACTGTGCTTTAAAAATTCTCATTGCACCTCATGAGGAAACATTTCATGTCAAATCAGGTTTAGGAATTTTGCAGATCAAAGCAGGGCGGGGGTGGGGGGGTAGCGGCAAGGAGAGGACAGCTTCCCCAGCACTTGCTTGTGCGGCTGCCGAGCCCTGACAGGAAGACTCACAGCTCTGCCAGCAACCGAGTCCCGGGAATTGTGTATGTCTTGAGAAGCAGTTTGAGTGGCATGTATTTAAGACAATCCATTCGTATTTGAGCAAACTTATGCAATTCATATCTCCCGGATGTCAGCTTGAACAGGAGGTAAGAAGCATGGTAATGCCTCACACTCATTTCAGATAAAAATCATGGATAATTATGTATTTACACATTAATTTATGTCACAGAAGGATGTCGAGTGAGAAAATAGGATATCTACACTCTGCAGTTGAGGGCATAAATTGTTAGACACTTCCAGGAAGGGTGATTTGGAAATGCATATGCAAAAGCTGAGAAATATTCACAATCCTTGACTCATCAATTTTTCAATGAAATAAGAAGATAAAAGATTATATAACTTACTTATTATGTTAGTGTTTACAATAATGAAATTCCATATTGAGACTACAGAGGCAAAATAGAGGAATTTATAGGAATTCATTCACACAATAAAATAGTTTGCAGCATCCTTGAGTGCAATTATGATTTATAATTGCTTAAATGGAAATATATTTTTTAATGTTAACATAAGATTATAAAATAGTATTTAGAGTATGATCCCATTTTGGTAATCATGTAGTCTTTTTTACTTTCTGGTTCATATGAATGAAAAATCTTTTAAAGAATTGAATGATATTTAAAATTTTGTCCTTAGCCTTAAATTTTTATTTCTCCTGGTCTTTCCCCATATGTTTCTGGACTATAATGTCATGAGACACTGTTATAGATTAAGATTAATAAATTGTATGGGTATGTTTCAGCTATATGTTGCTGCATAAAAAATGTAGTAACTGAAATAAATAATTATTCTTTTTAAAGATTCTTGGACATTCTGTTTTACATAGTGTCGAGTGATGGGATAACTAGAAAATCTAAGATGTCCACATAGTGTGGACACGGGTGGGAGCTGGACACCTGGTGGGTGCTGAGCCGCAGTTGTGGTCCTTTGGCCATGATTCTCCTATCTATGGAACCCTCCTGGGGCTGCTTGGGCTTCCACTGAGGTACTCCTAAGTCTCAAAAGAAAGCATCTTGGATATAGATGAAAAGGCTATCAGTAGTATTGAAACCTGGGCTCAGAAACCTCCAAAGTCACTTCTGGCATTTGTTGTCAAAGCCTGTTACAAGGCCAGTCCAGACTCAAGTGGAGAGGGGGGGGGGAGTGTTTGCACAGAGGGGCTGTGGGGTTGCTGGAGCCTCTTTGTAACCTACCTACCCCAGAGTGAGATCCTCAGGATTGGATGTCTTTGCATGTGTATAAAAGCTGAGCTGAACCTTGAATTGAAACAGCCCTCAAAGTTCCAAATTAAATTATCACTCATCTTTCTGTCAAAAGAAAGAGGCTCCTTTGAGCCTTTACTAGGCCCTGCTTGGGTAGAGAGAGGGTAGGAAGAAGTGAAAGAAGAATTTAATCCACAAGAGGCCGGTGTTCCTGGGTAGACTTGGGTGTTAAGGCCTTAAGGGCGTTCCATGGGGACCAAGAGGATTCGAGCCTTATGCTTTTCACTCCTTTCAACCCCATTCCGTGGTAAGAGAGAAAAGCCTATGTCCAGTCCCAGCCCATCTCCCCAGCAGGCCCACCCTGGGCTTCATATCCAATTGAGGAGCACGGTTTTTCTTCCTGAGATTCTAGCAACTGTCCTTTGCAGTTCTTCTGTTGTGGTTTTCAGATGAAGTCGTGGATGTTGCTAAAACATTAAGCTGTCAAATGGAGGCTTTTTTGAATAAAGCCTCCAGCAGAATCTATGGGCATTTCCACCTATGAAATCTAGGTAGACCAAGTGTGGACTGGAAGAGATGAAAAAAACACACTCCTGCCTCTCTTGCTAACACAGGCTCTTAGTTATCCTGTGGACTGCGTCTTTATTCTCAAGAAACATTAAAGTCCATTTTAAGGAGATGAGTCATCGTATGCCTTTGTAAATATAAAGTCCAAATATCAAAATGCTTTGTTCCAGTTGAATTCTAATATATATGAAAATTAAACTCTGCTACAGCCCATGAAAGTTTCATAAAATATTTATGAGCAGATCTGTCTTTGTTGAGAATAACAAAACATGTGAGGTGTGCAAATCAGCTCTCATAATGGCAAAAAAAAAATGTGTGTGTGCCTTAAGCTTATTGGAGGAATTGGGGGACAAATAAACACAGGTTCCCCAAAGTTTGGACCTATAATAGCCTCCAATACTTTTAGTTTCTTTCATACATGTGTTCATGTGTTCGAGGGATGGTGTGTGTATTTAGAAAATAATGAAATATAATTATTAACTGTGATGTGGTGTCGAACTGCATTCAGATTGGGTTAGAACTATGGTCTACTTTGCAGCTAAACAAATTCAATGTGTTCTCTGGTTTACAAGCCAGGTACTTTGGACAGCCTTTGCCTGAAGAGGTATCATGCCCAACAC